TAGTCGTACCATATTTTTCTTGGCGCAAATCTTTATCTTATTTGACGAGGTACAAATGTTTTTGCACCGACCCATAATAATAATAATAATAACAGATATAAATACTATAATAATAATAATAAAAATAATTAAAAAATAGATATAAGCATTATAACAAATATCCAGCTTATAAGGCTTATCATATGAATTCTAAGAATCCTAAAAATCCTATGAATCCAGAATTATGCAGATCTTCTAATTTGTGATAATTCTTTATAGATCAACTTTTCAATAGTGAATTTTTAGTCAGTAATAATGTATATATAATCAAAAAATTTTTTTTGTTCAGATGGTAGGATCATCTTTATTTGTATAAAAACTAGGTATATAAATTTATTATTTTTGATAGAAGAGGTTTGATCACATGATCATAGTGACGCAGTTATTTTAATCTTACTAGCTTAAATCAGCCATAAAGTCTGATTTGCTGTAACAATCTTGAAACACAAATATTTTTACATCTACCAGTCCAATTTTGATGAGGATTGGACTACTGGATTCAGTAGGTTCTGATCTTTCCAATAAGCTTAAATTTGTATAAATCTGATTAGTATATGTCGAGATATTATCCTTCAAATTTGGGAAAAAAATATATACTCTATATGTTTTAGCTAATTAAATTACTCGAATATAACTGCGTGATCATGTGATATTGTATGGATTTCTGTTGGATGTCATCTGATACTAAGCCCCTAAGGAAGTAGTATTACGTGACTAAATTACATACACATTGCTTATGAATACCATTAGCCACCTTTGATTCTTAATCTGAATCAGACTCAGTTAGTTCTTTGTCGAGTTATAAGCCAGTTTACTTTTCTACATAATTTCCTATCCAATCTATGGTTCTTTCAAACCTTTTAAGCTGAGAATTATATTTATCCACTTTTATCATTAATGCTATAATTTCTCCAATAAAAATACTGGATTTTTTTATCAATTGCTGGAAACGTTTTTGTATGATGATTGAGTTTTGCTAATTTTATTAGCTTTTTTACCATGCCTTTCTCATACTCACTATATATGCTATTAGATAATTACTCTTGTTTGGTTTCTATTATAGAGAAGTATTCAGTAACCAAATATTTATTATACAAGAAAAAATATATAATAATAATTAAATCAATATTTTAATCATAGCAATTCCTTAACCTCGATAATTTCAGTTGCGTTCACTTTAAAGATGGGAACTGTAATTAATATGTTGCAACTTTTAATGTTGCAACTTACGTTGCAATTAGTTTTAACATATATATGTTGCAACTTATAATGTTGCAACATATGTTGCAACTAATTTTAGCTTATGTTGCAACATTTTGTAAATTTGAAATCAATTGCTGTACCATCTTTAGTTCACTTACTATATGAAATGTACATTCATTTAATACTTCTCTAGGAGCTTAGCTATTATAGCTCTTTTTTCAGCCTTTTCATAGGATATATTATCTTTGACTATATTCTTGTATATCATGATAGGCCAATGCATATAAGGCATGCTAGTTATCTTATCTAATAATATCCAAAGATGTAATATGATCTTTTGATCATAATCCTATATTCTTGGCATAGAATAACATAGAATACCTTTTTCTGAAATAGAAAATCCTGATATACTTGAATCATAGGAATTTACTTTTGGGATAGGTGTTTTCTACCATTTCATTCATACTTTTCTTGCTGATTCCCTTATACTTTGATTTTATGAATTTATCAGCTAAAACGTAGTGGTATAATTTTGCCTGAATGTAAAATGACTCAGTAATCACATTTTCTGGAGTCTTATCTTTGAAAAACCTAATAGTCTTCAAATCATTAAGATCAAAGAGGTCTGATTGCTCTGCCATATCATTATAGATATCTTCAGTCTCAACCATAAATATACAGGAATCTATATCCATATATTCAAGCTGGGCCTTATCCCTATATTTTTCTTTCACATAACCATATCAAAAGTGATACATTAAAAGCTTACTAAGACTTAGAACTGATGTTTCAACAAAGATTGGCTTATTAAAAATTACACTAGCTTTTTTCATATATGCACTTACTAGCGAATCTTCAAGTGATCTGCCATACTTAAAATTTGGGCTTTTAATTTTCTTGAGAAATTTCTTCTCATCTAACTTATTATTACAGACCATAATTTTAACATCCTGGTATTTTCAGATATTTTCTATAGTCTTGTCATATACTGAATTATTCATGAGCTTGAAGAAGTCTTTTTCAAAGGTATTCTTAGCTTTCTAATACAACTTTGTATTCTTGGCAATATATAGGACTAATAAGATCTCTGTGACCTTATCTATAACTATGTTCAATTTTATATAATACTGGAGCTTCTGATAATAAATGACATAATTTTTTTGTGAGCTAAGATATGAGATTAGTTTTTCTGTTACATAGAATTGCCTACCATCCATATCATTCACAAGCTTGATATTGTATGGACATAATATATCTTTTTACTATGACATTTTTCACAACTAAAGGTAGTGATATACATTTTTGATGTTTCAAACATTTTGAAACTGTCCTACACTATATTCCAAAATGTCTCACATTAAGTTCCAATGTCCCAGGCCATGTCCCAAAAATGTCTCATAACAACACTGGCTAGAGGTAAGTTCCTCAAATAGTTATGAGTTTTTAGTAGAAAATGAAAATTAATTATTAAAAAAAATTTACATGACGCATCTGCTCCAGTCTTAAGAATCATTTCGAGATATTTCTTTTGCATCTTAGAATTATTCTTTAGATATTCTCGACTAGCAACCCACTTATAATTTCCAACTAGGAGAAATTGACTCATAGCCTATCTATAAAGATTGTTTGCATTGATATAGGAGATCCATGTTGTTAGTTGAAATAGGTCGAATTCCTCTCCTATGTTAGGATTATTTGCTTGGAAATGTCTATATACTGCTAACCATTTCTGTAAATCGTTCAATCTTAAGTTTGGTTATCTTAAGCATAGCATCCCAGAATAAAAAAGGTACAGATATATAATGGCTGGGATCAAGGCCATAATAATGTATTGATGTCTTTCTAAATATTGTTCAGACATCTGCTAGGTTAGTTATGGTATATTTGACCGAATTTATTTGTTACTCATTGCATTAAATATCACATATTAATTAATACAGTTACTATAAAATTGTTATTTATATTATGCATACGGGTAACAAATAATTTTTGGTCAAATGGCTTTTAGTCAAACATCTGGATATATACTAGACTAAGCATGTCTATTTTGAGATAGAGATCATTATATTCTCCCAAGTTCTTATATCCAAATCCCTTTAATACATTTTGGATATAATTATAATCCTCTTGTGAAATCTTACCTTCAAGGACACTATGAAATTCATGAATCAGAGGTAATTCTATTTTCTTAAATTGGTCATGAAAGTCTATGTACTTATAAGAAAAGATTCCTTTACGATATGCTAAGGAAATCTGTTCAGAAGAATAGTCTTGTTTCTTAAAATATGTAGTCGTAATTGGGTGGTCATTACCCAAATTCTTTATAAGAGAGGCCAAGCTAGAATTCATAAATTGTATACTATTAATATACTTAAGCTGACTTATTTTCATAGATTTGTATCACTTAAATGTTTTAGCAATAAAAATGGTTCCCATAATTATTTTTAAAATTTTTAACTAGGTGCAACTTAAGTTGCAACACTTTGAGTTGCAACATTTTATGAATTTTTATATTAAAATAAATTTATAAGGAGTAACAATCAAGTTGTAACTTCTTAATTATGGTGTTCAGCAATAATAGTAATTTGAAAAGAATTACCTAAGCGTCGAACAGATTTACAAATCAAGTGAGAGTCATATTTCCAGAAGTTATAGAAGATAATTGGGATTAATGTCTTCCATGGCTCAATCTGAAGTTTAAGATTATAATTATTATGAGACGTCTCTCGGAATTTACTTATGATATAACAGTGATTCTAAACCTTTTTATCTTTAGTTTCTTTTCTAACAAATTCAGCTTATGCTTTAGAGATTGTCAATTTTAATGATTTATAGTTTTCAAATTTTTAACAGCCTTTATCAATTCTGTATAGAGATTTTTAAAATCCTTTTCAGATTCAATATTTTTTTCATTTCAAAGATTCTCCTTGATATATCTCTAAGTAAAGCTATCTTATTATATGATTTAGGATCTTAAACAATTTCTATAAGCTTGTCGGTAAGATTTGCAATCTTTCTTTCTAACTTATTAATCATATCTGTATCTATACTAAATGTGTCTTTACAGATCCAGTACCTATTATTCTCTTTAATCTTTTTTGGTAGTTATCCATAATAATATGCTTATACTTAACAGCTAAGTCCTTATTTATTTCAACCAATTCTTGATTGATCCTTCGAATGAATTCTTCTATAGCATTTTCTCTGCAATATAAGAAAAGATCCCATGTTTCTCTAGTATTAATCCAGTAGACTTTTTAGCTAAAATTATTAGCTTCTTTCTTTGCTATCTTTTGCATATTTTCAGTCACACTCTTCTTTAATAACTCAAAATCTGCTATAATAATACATAAAGTATTAATCTGACACCTATAGTTTCTGAACTCTTTAAAGTTATTAATATCTTTTACAGGTATAGTAACTCTTTCTTAAACTTCACCTAATTCAAAACGCCATTGTTAGTAATAGTCTAAGGATTTTATAGATAGAAAACTTTAAAGTATCGGTTGCATAAATATTTCTTATCTTTATAAAATGTATCCTTATATATTAATCCATTCAGATTCTTAATCTAGAGAAAGTGATTCTTTTGTTTATACTTACCTTTTTCTGATTTGGTAATATCTGTAAGGACCATTAGATAGATAGTATGTTATCTTTTATAGTTTTTACTATAAAGAATGGGTTTGTGAGTACCTGTTTTTTCTTCTTATTTTCAGATATTTATAGAGATATCTGGATTTATCTTCTCAATCTTTGAAAGGTTTATAAAACAAATTGGAGTAGACATTGGGATTCTATTTAACTTAATAACATTTAAGTAGAGTTTAAGCTTCTTAGCTCTAAAAATTCATTCAAGATGTTCTGTATTTCCATCCTGATAAGTGAAATAGATACCTAATGCATCTTGAAGCAGGATTAGCAAAAGACCTTGAAATGATCTTGAAATGACCTTAAATGACCTTAAATGACTTTATTATTATTATAAATTTCAAGTCAAAAGATCTTGTAATTTGCCATCACTGGCTTGAAGACACTTTTCAGATGGTCTATTTATTTCTGGATCTATAAGCATATAATTATCTGGATTGATTATATACACTTGATATTAGCGAGCTTCTTTAGGATAGGAATGTAAGATCCTTTAAGAGCTCGATGAAGTGTATATAACTCTATAAGTATCATTTTTAACCAAAGAAGAATTTTACCTGATTTTTCTTTCAAATATCTCTCGATCTTTTGATCAATTTTCACAACAGATTGAATATCTCATTTTTCTTCTTATTTCTACTTATTTTAGTTTTTTATTAAAGTGTTTATTACTTTATAATCTTTTAATTGCTAAGATAATTTTTATAATATTTCATTATTCTATATCTTTTTTATTGTCTTGTAATTACTTATGTATTTTTATTACTCTGTTTTTTTTTATTATCTTATAGATATTTATTTGATTTTAATACTCTGTGATCTTTTTATAGTTAAAATATTAAGCTGGTATTGATGTTCTTTTAGTGCTTTTGATTATTAAATTTATAATCAAAAAATTAGTTAGTAGGTATAATAATATCATATAATTTTGCTGTTTTATTTACGTTTAAGTTTTGGATATATTTCTAACACCTTTCTGCTATTTTTTTGTTACTTTTAAGATTCAATCATAACTAAGCATAGTGCAAACAAAAATTAACAAAATTGTATTACATTTTACTGCACTAAAAAAATCATATGATACTTTGCTAGCTTTATTTGGAGTTTAGACTAAAGAATCAGAAAGATAGAAAATTAAAAAAACAATTTATATTACCATATCTAACTTATTTAATTGGTAGAAATAAGGCATAAAATATTAAATTATGCAATCCATTTATTTTTTCTCTTAATTGACAAAAATATACTAGATTTACAATCTTATTATATTAATCTATTCTATTGCTGAGTTAAGACATAAAGTACTAAATTAATAATCCAGCTATTGATCAATCCTGCTTTCATAATATCTAGAATTGTGAATGATAAATTATCATGTAAGTTATTATAATTTACCTAAAATTTTAAATAAGTTACTAAGTTATTATGAAAATAACATTATTTAAACTATCAATAAACTTTTATATTAATAATTAAAAAATTGAAAATGATTTAATATTTGATAAATAAATCACAAAATTATTTTATTTATTTATTCTAATATATCACTATCAAGTAATTCTTTTTAATTTTCTAACAATTTATATGACATTTCTTTATTATTAACAATTTTTCTTCTAATAGTTTAACTGTTTTAACAATTAATAAATCAGCATTATTAATAGCTTTTTCTTATTAATAATTAGTTTAAGTATTCTCATATTCCAATAAAAATAAACATATTTTTTTAACTTACTATCCTCTAATTAATTATATAATTTATTATAAATAAATCCAAAAGAAGATCAGTATTGTTTATTATTTACAAATATTGATAAAATTGATAATACTTAACATATAATTACATTTAATATTGGCTAGCTTCTTGCAACCAATATCTATCAATTAATTAGATGAGATTTTATAATTCTTTATAAATGATCATCTGAAAATCCTTCAAATTTTCTAACATAATCAAAATATTCCATTAATACTTCATTTTTTTTTATCTTCAGATGTTAAACATAAAATTACATATTCAATAATTAAATCATATTGATTAGTATTAAATAATTCATCATAATATTTTAGATCTAATTAATATATTAATAATATAATAGGATTATACAAAAAATTATTTCATCTTTGCTTTTCAAAATCAAGAACTTGAGTTTTAAAATCATTTGCAATTTCTATATTTTGCAAAATACTATTTTCAATTAATTTTAATTGAATATATACTGTTAATATTTTTGGTTAATCAAATTATAATTGATTAATAAATTTAATAAATAGTTCAAAAAAATCATATAAAATTTTTGCATTTTCCAAAATATAAAATTAACAATTTTGTTGTTTAACTTTCTCTTTTATTTGAAATTCTTTATAAATGCTATTTTAAATTGTTATTTTAGTTTTAAGAAGACTAGTAAGACAAACATATGCTGATTCCTATTATATAGCTCAGATAATAATAATATAACATTATTCTATATTTTCTTTTTGAAGGTACCGTAATATTGCTAAAAATATTTGATGAAGATGAAAGTAATTTATAATATTTCTAGCATTTTGCATATAGTCCAATCTAATTCAAGAATACCTTTTAACCATAAATTTATGCTATATGCTCAATAGTCAAGAAATTTCTATTACATAATTAAATAAATTAATAATTATTAAATAATAATTAAAATAATAATTTTTATATCTTTTATAAATAAGTTCATTTAAAAATAGTCTAAGCAGCTTTCATTTTTATAATATTATCTGTAATAATAGCAATAACCCTTTTTCACCAACTTTTTAATAGTTTGTTTAATACTTTCTGCAATATTTTCATTAGTATACCGCTCTTTATTTATTAGTACTGATTTATAGAATATTGGTTTTAATATAATAATCATATAATTTATAATGTTATTATTATGAATATTGGATATTTCATTAGTAATAATAAAAACAAATTCATATTTTTTTAAAATATTTTATACTTTATTTTTAATAATATTTTAAATTAAGAATTTTATTAAATAAACTTATATCCTGAAAAAATTTTATAAGAAGGCAAAACTTTCTTAATAAATACACAAAAATCTTTATTTTCAATTATATTAAAGAATGTTTATTCTTGCTAAAAAAATGTTTGTATCAAAAGTTGTTCTAACTCAAACTGATTTTGAAAATTGAATTTGTATATAAATTCATTTAAATTAATCTAAGTATTAACTTTTATTTTATATTAGATAAAATATTTCTTGAATTACTTTCTTGTTTAAAAAGATTTTTTAATAAAATTTATATTTGTTAAAAATATTCTTGCATTTGTTTTATATTTTTTTTGATAATGCCTATATTAATATTATTCAATAGTATTAAAAACTTTAAAATCTTTTTTTAATAACATTATAAAAAATATGTAATGTGAAAGGTTAATATATATATAATCACTAATTATTAATTTAATAATAATAAATCTGATTTTAATCAATTATTTTAATCTATAATTTATTTCATAATTTATTTTGTAATTTACTAAACTTATTGGTAAATTACATTAAAATTTTATAAATATTGGTAATTTTATGACTCTGATAATATTTCTGGGATGAGACATAAAGTATCAAATTGGTTATTCAGATATACAAAATTTTTTTTCTCTTTTTTATATAGAATTTTGCTTTGCTGAATCACCAAAATATCAAAATATATAATATTTT